AAGAGAGACAGAAAAGACATTTAAAAAAAAAAGAAAAAGTTAATGGATGGAAGCAAAGCACAAAATGGTCCTCGTTGGAAGGAACCCTGTTCATAAAGATAACATTAATTCACTTTGTCCTCCTCCTAGACATTCTGTCCCAGTGTGACAGTATCCATCTGTCTCTTTAGTTTGATTGAAGAATATTTTCCCAAGCTCCAAGTGCTCCGGCTTTATTTTGTTCTCTTATTACAAATACTATCTTTCTTAGGGGGTAATGAAAGGCACAGAGCTTGAGCTCGGCTTCACAAGCTTTTGTGGCACATGAATTTAACACTTTAACCTTTTTTAATGGGCTAACAGGATAAAGTAAAAATAAAGGCAAAGAGTGTCTTGGGATCTGGTAAGACTGTACGGCTATCATTAGGATGGCAAAGGCAAAAACATTATCTTTGTTTGTCTAGAGAGCACGTCCTTCTTATATTCACGAGGAAAAACTTATCCATTCCCGTTTTATTGCCGTCATATTTATATCTCTCTTCTCATATCGCATATCAAAAAAATAAAGAGAACGAGACAATGATACAGAGATGTGGAAGTATTTCTCTATATTCATAGGCATCTCCAATTTGTTTGTAGATGGAGTAGCCCTGAATTCTTTTTTACATTTGTGGTATTTTTGGAGCAGAAAGTGCGCGCGTCTCTTCACAGTAAAGCTTGTCTAGCTTCGTTTGAGCTATGAAGTTTTGATGTGTTGTTGTGCGGGCAATCTGCTAGCCTAGCATTTGCTGCTGCCCAGCCCTGTTTGATTTATTTGGTACTTGGAAATATACTGTGAGATGCAGTTTTTGCTCCCCCTATGATTGAGCATTGAAACCACGAGGAAAAAAGCCTCCCTTACCAGTGACGAGCAACGTACATAGCTGACTGCAGTCCCCAGTCAATCATTGAGAACTGTATGCCATTTGGATTTTGCCCCAAAACATTGTAACCTAAATCACACAGATCATTGACCCAAAAAAATAATTCACACAGATCATTTTATTGAGGCCCAAAACATAACCCACATAGTTCAGGCCACTTATTAACCCATAATGGGCTCTGTTTGTTTGAACTCCTGAGGGAGTCAGTGTTACCACAAATTTATTTTCAACTGTTGAACATGTTGACCAAGATAAAGCAAGTGAAAGTCGCCAAAAATCCTGGTTTATAAAATGCAATCAAAAGCGAAAATGGGGAATGAGAATTCAAGACAACTTTTGTAGTTACAAATTTCGTAGTTGTAGAAGATTCATTCAAGTAATAAAATCCCTGGATCATAACAGATCAGTCCAAAAAAATTCTAACTGTACGCCAACAAAAACTATTGTTTCCTTCCCCTTCCTTTCTTGGTTGGCTGTGCATCCATCTGGTCTTTCCCGGTAACTTCTGCAGGATCCGCTGTGCAAGAGAAAAAATAAAGAAAGAAAGAATGAGTTGTAGTTAGAATAATTAGTAAAACTCACATTAAGGTCAAACTGGAAGCTATACATAACACTACAGCACCATAACAGATGCTCCAAAGGGGATCCATAGGGAGCCCCCAAATAGTAGCTTAAGAAAGGCAATGCTGCTTCAACCATTGCATCATTCCAGAACATTAATTCTCTAGACTCCATGCAGAAAATAACTTCTCCATTACATTTCACATGGCATTTGAAACAAGCTTTTTAGCTTCTCCGAAGGTCCTACGTATTAGTGAAAGGTCCCTAGGTGCCTACCCCTTGAAGGACCTTTCGTAAAAGGCCACTCAAGTTCAAACACATAGCAAGTTCTGGTATAATTGGATTGGGCCCTACAGTTGTGGGACCAAGTGAAAAGGGCACATTAGCAAGTAATCTAACTGGATTTAAACTAAAATGAATACGAAATGAAATACTTCATCGATGTTCCAGAAGAAATATTAAAAAGTTTTAAGATTAGGCTTGGATAAAGATAATACCTTCTGGACCCCTGGACATCAAAGTGAAGAATACATTGTTAAGTTTTTCCATCTTCTTTGCATCCTGTGCCTGATCTGTTTTAAATTTCAGACACTGCAAAATGCAAAAAGGATCAATCACATGAGTAAAACAGGCAAATTTTGATGATGATATCAATGATATGGAACAGTTTCTTGTATCTAATAACTTCAGTTTACAGAAAACACCCAAGTTTCTAGTAAGCCACAAAAAGATGCTTCAATCCAGGTTTCCAAATACAACTACAGGGCATATGGAGATTTTTATATAGTCTGTGTTCTACATATACACAAGCATTCCATATTCCGAAAATGCACAAAGAAAAGTGCAATCATGTCAAATTCAGCCAGATGCCTCATCTCACTTCTTGCACCAGCTTTCCATGATTAGGATTTCTTCACCCAAAAAAGTAGAGTAAAAGAAATGGGAAGACAGAAGAAAAAGGAAACACATTGCTTTATGCAGCTAAAAGCACTATCACCATGACAAATCACCAGATTCCAAGTAATGGCATTCTCAGATTCAATCTGGGAACAATTTGGCATGAAATTAGGTCCTTCAAATACGTATTTTTTATTATATTCAAGACGTTTTCCTACTTAGGTCAGTTCGAGTATCAGTTCATGTGCTCAACAGTGAAGAAAACACAAGACAACAGTTTGGAATGGATTAGGTGACATTAACAGATTTGTGTAATTGAAAAACAGAGGCGAAGAAACTTAGCATCTAAGTCAAAGAAAGGGTGATAAGTGTACTTCTGCCACATCGGTACCCAGAGAAAAAAAATGTCCCAACAATTTTAATAAAAAAGCCACCAGAATATGATATATTTACATTATTAATCAAAATATAACATTATAAGAAAGAAGTCCACAGGTTCTCTTAATCTGTCACTAGAAAGAGCATCAACAGTACAAAACTGAGAATACTCAACATGACAGGCTACTTGTTTCCTATACCTTTCTGAACTGCGGTAATTCTACTCAATTTTTAACAAACGAAAGCTTATTGAAGTTCCTAAACAATGAATAGGGTTACACAGAAGTACTAAATTTAATGTTTTGTTCATGAAGTGAAATCAATAACAATCTCAGCCAGCTCTGATTACCCAGATAAGTTAATACACAGTAGTATAAGGAAATAAATTAGTACCTCTTTATTATCAGTGACTTTGAGAACCAATTTCCCATCGCAATGCCTGTACTTCATCACATATCGCGTCTACATCAACAAAATAGATCCATCAGAATGATTAGAAATCGTTAAATCCCAGTCAAATAAATAAATAAATAAATAATTCAGACCAATTAATTCTTTGTTTGGAAGGTATTTAAAACAATTAATTCTTTGTTGCGAAAACATAAGAACTAAAATCAACCAGACTATTGAAGATTAGGATTTTCATGCACTGGAAGACTGGAACCGAGAAAGAAAATAAATCGCCCAGTCCACTAGTACACTGTGCCTAATGAAAAAATTTGCTCGCTCTTGCTTGTAGAGAGCGCTTGTTAAACACATATTTAAAAACTATGCAATTCTACTCGTTTTTCTTTGATTTTCTGGGAAGACAAACAGAAAATATGAAAAAGAAAGTTACGTACAGATTCGGGATCGGCACGGAAAAGCTGTACGGATCGGTCGACGAATTCATCCCAGGAAGTTATATATACCATTGTTAGGGTTTAGGGTAAAAAGCTGCGTTTTCAGAGAGAACGAGGAGAAATTCAAGGAGCAGAAAGTATAAAATAGAATTTTGGGGAAGGGGGTTTTAAATGTGTTCAGCGCAGTGCAAGGTCGGTTTAGTGTTTATTTACGATTGGGCCTTGGGTTTCACTGAAAGTCGGGTTGGCTGTTTGGGCCTTGGCGAGCTCGGTTATAGCACGAGCGTCGTAATAGCATCAGTCGTTCATGTGAGCGTTTATTGTTCACGTGCTTCAAAATAGCATCAGGCGTTCACATGCGTGTTGAAAATCACAATAATAATTCTCTTACGATAATTTTATTAGGAAAAACAAAATTGTTGAAGTATCAGATTGAATTGAAAAACAAAATTAATATTACTAACACATAATAATATATAAACTTGAAAAATAGGTAATAGTTTAGGGAGTTTTATGTAGCTAACCCTAAACAAAAGAACAATTTTACTAATGTTATAGTCTTTGGCAATAATTTGTCTGATTTGTAAACTCAAATATGAAGCAGCCCAAACAAAAACAAAAAACAAAAAAAACGAAAACGTCACAACACTAGAAGTAGAAGAAGAAGCAAACATTATAAGAGGGTTCTTGCCAAAGGTGCAAGGCACTTGCTGTTAATACAAATAAAAATAGTGATTAATATTGCTTAATGGCCCTCATTTATGCTTTTCCTTTTCAAACTATTTGTGTCTTTTTAAAAATCTTTTGATCCATTTTGTCTAATCTAAGAAGCTATATATGTTGTAAAGAAGCATGACTTGAGCACATTCAAATCTTGATTCTACAATAGTCACTTGGTTCTCAATTGTTTTAGAGTCGAGAGTAACTTGGGTGCAATTAAGTTTAATATGGAATATATTCGCCTTTATAAGTTATATTCCACAACATAAAAGAATAATACTCCGAGTTCATTGCTGATTACATATATAACATTGGACAAATAAGAAATAAGTTATTATTTCGTGGTTCCCTCAAATTGCCTGTAGTATTTGAAGGGAAGGAATATAAATGTCTACTGAAAAACAGAAGCAAATACACTTGAATCCTACAGAAATTAGCAAAACTTGTTTAAAATGACGATTTTTAAGCTGTTGCGACGAATTTTGTTATCTAGCGGCGGTTTACATATCTTTCGTGACGAAATTATGGTACCAATATGTTAAAACAGCTTTATCAGCGAATAAAACCGTCGCTAGCCGCAGTACATAACAGTTTTAACTTCGAGAAGGAAAACCGTCGCTAAAACTCGAGAAGAAAATAAATGCGCCTCTCATACCCGCTTATATAACGAAATCTTCATTAAGCACACAGGAACCCAACCTTTTAATGAATTTTACATTTCCAAATTTATTATTCAATAATTTGACCATACTCTTGTCTACAACCCCATCACATACTCGAATCCTCTCCTAATCACTATTTTTGCCTAACCTTGCCTAAGCTTTTGATAAGAATAAGACACGTAATTAGAATCACATCCTATGGCTCAAATCACTTTTACATTATTTTGCATTTAGGAAGAATTTTGCGTCGGACGACTTTACAGAGCTGAATATCTGCAGCATATGCTGTCGTTGTGTTGAGCTACTGGCAGTTGGCCTCCACTGGCTACCGGGGCTTCTGGTTCACAAGTCCAGCCTTCAGTTTTGTCTTCCTGACTGTTGCCCAGTGGACTAGAGTTATGGCCAATCCTTTTTCTGTGACACAGATCTCAGGATGTTTTCAGGTACCCTTCAATTCTTTCACGTACCTTTAAACATAAAAACAAAAAACAAATCAATAGTTTCTTAAATCCCCAATGACCCATTTATCACAACTTGGAATTATCTTCTAATGCTGCATTTGTATTTCCTTGTGTTAGATATTGCAGGCCTACATATGCCTACTCTGAGGGAACACTTCTTTCTCAAAAAACCACCAGTCATTTCACCATGAAAAATCCCCAGATTCCAAGTAATAGCATTCTCAAATTCAATTTGGGCACAATTAGGTATGAAAGGGTCCCTTCACTGGCTAGTGTATTATGTTCAAAGAAGTTTTCTTATATAAAATAATTTGAGTATCACTCGATGTGCTAAACAGTGACGAAAAAACAAGACAGTTTGAAATGGATTAGGTGACTAACAGATTTTTGTAATCTAAAAAACAGGGGCTAAGGAATTTAGCATCCAAGTCAAACAAATGGTTGAAAAGTGTATTTCTGCACATAGGTAGTTCCTAAAGAAAAAAAATGTCCCAACAATTCTGATAGAAAATATTAACACTTAAATAAGCTACATACCAAAGAGAACCAATTTGATTATTATCCAATAAAGGGTACAAACAAGGAAAAATTGATGCATGCCAACAGAGTGATCACCAAACTCAACCACAGAAGTTTTATGACAGTAGAAAATGGAACATGTAAACCAAAAGAAATTGTGCACCTGAAACCTCGCACAAATCCTTGTTCTCTAAGGAAAAGATATGTGGAAGATAAAACATCTTAACACACACCTCGCCCGCCCCCCCAACCCCCCAAAAAAACAAAAAACAAAAAAAGGCCTTACTAAATCCATGCATTATGCTTCCTCCAGTAACAATTAATTTTTAAACACAAATAGCCATAAACTAATTCCTTCACAAAATTCGCAACAAATATGAAGTGCAAAGCATTTCTTTGCAACATCTCAGTAAGTTAAGTAGAAGCGCACATGTTGAAAAAACCAAGTCAAATTCATAATCCCACGGCAAAGCACAAGTAGTATAAATAGGCAAAAGGTTCAATAGAAGATGATATAATTACTTTATTGATCAAAATATAACATCATAAGAAAGAAGCTCGCATGTTCTCTTAATCTGTCACTAGAAAGAGCATCTACAGTAAAAAACTGAGAGCACTTAACATTACAGGCTGCTTGTTTCATATGCCTTTCTAAACTGCGGTAATTCAACTCAATCCTAAGTTTATTGAAGTTCCTAGACAATGACAAGGGTTACACAGAAGTACCACATAACTAATAATAATCAGTAATAATCTCAGCCAAAGTAAAGTAAAACAAAAGGAAGACAGAAGAAAAAGGAATGGCATTCTCAAATTCAATTTGGAAACTATTTGGCATGAAAGGGCAAGGTTTAATGTATATACAACGGAACTCTAAATTATAACACCAAACATATATATTCATACTTGATACTGTTAACAAGCACAACAAGTATAAATGAGCAAAGCATTCACCGGAATATGATAGAATTACAAAATATAACATTATAACATTATAAAGGCTCACTTAATCTGTCACTAGAAAGCGCATTGACAGTATAAAACTGAGAATACTTAACATTATAGGCCGCATGTTTCCTATGCCTTTCTAAACAAAACTGGTAATTCAACTCAATTTTTAACAAACAAAAGTTTATTGGAGTTCCTAAACAATGAATAGGGTTAAACAGAAGTACTCAATTACTGTCTTGTTCATGAAGTTAAATCAATAATAATCTCAGCCATCTAGGATTACCCAGATGAGTTAATACACAGTAGGAAAAGGAAAGTAATTAGTACCAGTGACTTTGAGAACCCATTTCCCATCAGAATTATCATAAATAGTTAAGTAACAGTCAAATAAATAAAATTCAGAGAAATTAATTCTTTGTTTGCAAGGTTTTTAAAAGAAGTAAAATTCAAATTTGGATAGAATAATCTGGTTGTTAAAAACATAAGAATACAAAATCAACCAGACAATTGAAGATTAGGGTTGTCATGCATTGGAAGACTGGAGCCAAGAAAGAAACTAAAGCGTCCAGTCCACTGTGCCTAATTCAAAATTTTACTCACTCTTACTTGTAGAGAGCGTTTGTTGAAAACCAAAGACTTCGAAATGAAAACACACAATTAAGAACTACGCAATGCCACTCGTTTTTCTTTGATTTTCTGGGAAGACAAACAGAAAATAAGAAAAATAAAGAAAGTAACGTACAGATTCCGCGTCTTCCACATCGGCACGTACAGGCTGTACGGATCGATCGACGAACTCATCCCAGAACGGACAATGCTTGGCTCCTGATGTATTCCTCCTCAACCATGAAGTGGGCTTCTTAAAAAACCAACCCGCGTCTGTTTTCTTTTTTTTTTCCTCTTTCCTCTTCCCCCAACCTTTTGCCTGGTTTTACGAAAATGAGGAATGGGGAAAAGGGTAAGATTCGACTCTACTCATTTCGGCTTTTGCCTTTTCCCCATTCTAAATTCTATTGGTCTGCAGCATATAATTCAATGGTAGAGATGGGCCAAGGGGCGGGTGGTTATGGCTTCATATTCTGGGTTTGGGTTGTAAGGACTCTTTTTACTTGCTACTTGCGTTTTGATGTTTGTTGGGTGATAAGGGTGGATTCGAACAGGGTGGCGGTGCCTTTGGGAGGTTGCAGTTAAAACCAGCCAAAAGGTTGGAAAAAAAAAAAAGAGAACACGTGTTGGTTTTTTAAGAAGCCCACGTCATGATTGAGGAGGAATGGCTCCTGATAAATCAGGAGCCAAGCATTGTCCTCCCAGAACCATTGCTTGGTTAAAACTCTGCGTCTTTCAGAGAGAGAGGAGGAGAAATTCGAGGAGTAGAAAGTGTAAAAAGAAAATTGGGCCTGGGTTTTACTTAGGATTGGGCCTTGGGTTTCATTGGAAGTCTGTTAGTTTCCAATAACAACTCTCTTATAAGAATTTCATTTAGAAAAAAAATATATGATAACTATTTTAGAGTGTTAATAATATATTAAATTGAAAAGCAAAACTAACCATACTAATAATAATGCCAATGTCGTCTAGCTTAACGGAAAATGATCTTTTTTTTTGTATGAACAATAGAAAAGAACTTTAACTAGTCTCAAATTTGAACCCCGATGCAACTTAGTAATGTGTGTGAGAGAAACTCTTCTCCCCTTCTAGTTTAGACTATAGTTTGTATAAAAAAAAACCATACTAACGAATAACAAAGAAACAAAACAACAAGTACTGTTGAAAAGAGTCTTAGCATCTTAGTTATGTGTGTATGAGAAACCTCCCTCCTGTATAATTTAGACTATCTCTTGTAGTAAAAAATAAACAAAACAAGTCTTAAATGAGTGAGGGTACCCAACCAACCGTCATTGTTATATTAATATTTTTCAAAGATTCTATAGTACTATTAATCCCAAAGATCCTAATCTTCCAGCGTCCACATTCCACCACCTCAACAAGTAAAAGTCAAAAGTAGCTAGCTAGCTATGAGGCATTTAGCTAACTCAAACGCATGAACTCTTGAAGCATTGAACTCTTATCCGAAGGCATCGAAAACAGAAAGAAAAAAGAGAAGAAAATGTCACAACCAGCACTACCAAATTCAACAGCAGAAGTGGAAGTAGAAAGACCAGTAGTAGTAGTAGAAGAAGAAGCAGCAAAACAAGGCAAAGGGACGTGGAAGCACGCTGCTTTCCACATGGCCACCACGATTGCCACACCGGCCGCTTATGCTCCCCTGCCTTTTGCTCTCGCTTCTCTCGGTTGGCCTCTCGGTAATTAACTTTTATCATTTTCTAATGCTCCAATTATATCAAATATTATTATTAAGTGATTGATTTGCTGTTTTAATTAACTTTTTATAATAGGGGTAAGCAGTTTGGTGGCTGCAACACTAGCCACTTGTTATTCTAGCTTTCTCATTGCATCTCTGTGGAATTGGGATGGGAAGAAACATGTCACCTATCGCCACTTAGCTCAGAGCATTTTTGGTACCACTTATTCTAACTTTTCATCTTTCAATTTGCTTTTCTGAGTTTTACTTTACAAATAATTCCATGTTGAATACTTCATATACACTTATTTTTATGTAATCATCTTGAAGGGTTCTGGGGTTATTGGTCAATTGCATTTTTTCAACAGGTAGCCTCTGTAGGCAATAATATTGCCATTCATATTGCAGCTGGAAGCAGCCTTAAGGTTGGTTCCTCTGACTAAACTCATCAATCTCATATTGCCTTTGGTCTTTGTAGGTTGAGACTTGAGAAGGAATAATTGTATATGTATTTTGCTATCTTTTGTTGCAGGCTGTTTACAAATATTATGACAAGGATGGTGGCTTAACCCTGCAGCATTTTATTATTTTCTTTGGGGCCTTTGAGCTCTTGCTGTCTCAGCTCCCTGATATTCATTCCTTGAGATGGGTAAATGCCTTGTGCACTTTCAGCACCATTGGCTTTGCTGGCACAACCATTGGTGTCACTATTTATAACGGTATCCTCCTCATCCTGCACATCTTACTAATCTGTCAAGTTTGGCTTCTGTGAAATTTGAGCTATTTTCTTTCTTCTTGCTTATAGGGAAAAAGATTGACAGGAAATCAGTCAGTTACAGATTGGATGGAAGCTCATCTTCTAAAGCCTTTAGAGCCTTTAATGCTCTTGGGGCAATTGCCTTTTCCTTTGGAGATGCCATGCTTCCAGAGATACAGGTCATTTATACATCTATATATATTTCTTTACCAATTTGAAGTTTGAAACTTTGAGAGTCAATAGTAACCAAGTTGTTAAATTTGGGTCATTTTGTTTTTGATACCAGAATACTGTGAGAGAACCTGCAAAGAAGAACATGTATAAAGGTGTATCAACAGCATATGCTGTCATTGTGTTGAGCTACTGGCAATTGGCCTTCACTGGCTACTGGGCTTTTGGTTCACAAGTCCAGCCTTACATCTTGTCTTCCCTAACTGTTCCCCAATGGACTATTGTCATGGCCAATCTTTTTGCTGTTGTACAGATCTCAGGATGTTTTCAGGTACCCTTCAATTCCTTCCCATACTTCAAAAGAAAATAAGAGTCAATAGTTTTTTAAATCCCTTGGAATTATCTTCTGATAGTGTATTTGTATTTCCTTGTGTTAGATATATTGCAGGCCAACATATGCCTACTTTGATGAAAGACTATTGTCTCACAAAACTACCAATCACTTCACATCCAGAAACAATCTAATTCGTCTTGTTTTTACGTCCATGTATATGGTTCTCATTACTCTTGTTGCAGCAGCCATGCCTTTCTTTGGAGATTTTGTGTCAATCTGTGGAGCAATTGGGTTCACACCACTGGATTTTGTGTTCCCTGCTCTGGCATATCTAAAAGCTAGAAGACGGCCCCAAAATACCAAAATGTACCTTTCTTTGCTGCTTCTTAACTTTGCCGTGGTGGCTTGGTTCTCCATTGTTGCAGTGTTGGGTTGCATTGGTGCAGTCAAGTTCATTGTGGAAGATGTCAAGACTTACAAATTCTTTCATGATATGTGAGAAACTCTAGTTATATCATATGTAAAGCATATTGGACAAACAATAAACAGATTCATTGTGTTTACCAAATTGCCTCTTGTATTTTAGCATTGATTTTTATATATTTTTAAAAAAATAACTTTCAAAAGATAACTCTTACATCAAAACAAAAATCTTGAAGAAAAATTGACATAAATTGAATGCATTTCACATTGGTCAAGAGAACAAAACCATGAATATAACCGGGTGCGATTCAAGGAAGACTCAGTGTACTTTGGCTTGTGCGTGTTTAGATTCAAGCATAAAAGTGTTCTTGCCCTGTCTAAGGAATCAAGGTGCAATGCACTAGCTGATAATGCAAATCAAAATAGTGATCAATATTCCTTGGTGGCCTTATTTCTGTTTTTCGTGTTCACACAATTTGGTTTTTTTTTTTCTCTCTCTCTCTCCTCTTTTCATTCATTTTGTCTAAGAAGCTATATGCTGCTAAGAAGCTTGAGCACATTCAAATATTGACTTTCCAATAGTCACTTGGCTCTCAATTGTTCCAGAGTCGAGTAGCTTTGGTGGAATCAAATTTAATGAAAGATCTCCGACTCTAGAAGTTATTTTCACACGATAGAAGAATACTCCTCCAAGTTGATTGTTGATCACATATATAACATCAGAGAAATAAGAAATAAATTATTCTTTCGTGGTTCCCTCAATTGCCTGTAGTATTTTAAGGGAACGAGTATGAAAAACAGAAGCAAATACAATTAAATCCAGCAGAGAATAGGCAATCTCGTTTAAAATGACGACTATTCAGCTGTTGCGGCGATTTTTATTGTTTAGCAGCGTTTTTCATACTTTCCGTGACGAATTTAGAGACTCAATTGTGTTAAACGTCTTTAGAGACGAGTAAAATCGTCGCTAGCCGCAGCAAATAACATATTTAGCAGCTCATAGAAAGACCGTCGCTAAAACTAGAAAAGGGCAAAAAAATCGCCTCCTCTCACCGTTCAGGGTGTAGTTTTATTTCAACAACTTGATTATGTCTACAGATATTACATCAAAATATTTTGAACTACTTCACTCAAGTTCGTTTGCGTGAAAATGTCTACATATATGAATTACATTTTTTTAGGTCAGTCCATTAACCCAATCAAAGGAATACAACAACTAAACATAATCATGGTGGGATATCATTCTCGGATCAGTGATCCAATAAAACATCCACAAATAATAAAATGACAATCCAATAACCAATGGCCTGCGCTGATCAGCCCCATGCTCTTCATATTTTAATGTCACAGACTAGAAGATGAAATACTTCCCTCTAGCTGATTTCTATCCAGAAAACATCAATAAACCAGGCCTGCAGATTTATAAAATGAAAGCTTCATTAAGCATGATTACAAAAAGGAGCCACATTGGAACCCAACTTTTCCATATTCATACAATGATATGCAACTGTTTTGTTGTATCTAAATATTTGAGATTACACAAAACATACCAAAGCTTTTAGTAAGCCACAAAAATGTTTCAATCAGGTTTCCAAAGACAACCACAGGACATCTCAGGATTTTATGTAGTGTGTGTTCTGCTTATAAGCAAGCATAGGAGATTTTCCAACATATTCCTAGAATGCACAAAGAAACTATACTCATGTCAAATTCAGCCAGGTGTCTCATTTGACTACTTACACGAACTTTCCGCAATTTGGATTTGTCCACCCAAAAAAAGTAAAGTGAAAGAAATGGAAGACAGAAGAAAAAGGAAATACTCCCCAGATTCCAATTTGGGAACAATTCGGCATGAAAAGGAGTCCTTCACATATTTTTTTTGTGTTCAAAGATAATCCTATATAAAACAGTTTGAGTATCACTCCCTGCGCTCAACAAAGAAGAAAGAACAAGACATCACAGTGTGAAATGGATTAGGTGACATTAACAGATTTGTGTAATGTAAAAGACAGAGGTGAAGGATCTTAGCATCTAAGTCTAACAAAGGGGTGACAAGTGAATTTCTGCCACAACATGGGTAGGTTCCCAAAGAAAAAAAAAGTTTCAACAATTTTGATGGAAAATATTAACACTTAATAAGCCACATACCAAAAAGAACCAATTTGATTATTTTCTTTCAAAGGGGAACAAACAAAGCAAAATTGATGACCCTGCCTACAGAGTAAACAAGAGGAAATGAATCATGTAAACAAAGAACGAAAAAACGCGGACCAAACATCTCTCAGAAAACCTTGTTCTGTAAGAAAAAAGAAATATGGAATATAAAACATCTTAACGAAAAAAGCAAAAGATTAACCAGAAAACGATGTAATTACTTTATTGATCAAAATATAACATTCTAAGAAAGAAGATCACCACAGGTTCACTTAATCCGTCACTAGAAGAGCATTAACAGTACAAAACTGAGAATAGTGTTAACATTACAGGCTGCTCGTTTCCTGTGCCTTTCAAAACTGCGCTAATTCAATTCAATTTTTAACAAAAGAAAGTTGATTGAAGTTCCTAAACAATGAAAAGGGTTACACAGACTTACTAAATTACTGTCTTGTTCATGAAGTTAAATCAATAATGATCTCAGCCAGCTAGGGTTACAGAGATGAGTTTATACACAGTTGGAGAAGGAAAGTAATTAGTACCTCTTTATTATCAGTGACTTTGAGAACCAATTTCCCATCCACTAGACTATTGAAGATTTAGGGTTTTCATGCACTGGAAAACTGGAACCATCCAGTCTACTAATCCACTGTGCCTAATTCAAATTTTTGCATAATCATATCAACGAAATTGTTGAAAATATAGCACTGCTATATATGAACACTTTTCAAAATCCATTTTCAAATTCAACTTCATTGAATTAAAGTACTGAAAATTTTAACAGTATGATTGAAGTTTGAAATTTTGATACAAACCCAGTTAGCGACTACACAATCGGAGCCCAGAAAATCTAAAACCCCCCACAAATTGTTGAAAATTAGTCTTACAAAATATGATTAGTAAGAATTACCTTAGAATTAACAAGGATTTTTCTATGCGATTAACGAAATTTTCAATCGCTTCCACAGCACAAACAAACCGTCCGTCGAACAATGGAGCTCATATCAAACACCATGCAGCGCTGTAGACGACGATACAATAACAAGGCCCTCGTTCTGGTTCCAGGAGACGATACCAGTCCACGTCGTCGTTTCGACCTCAATCAAATGATTCAAATCAAAGAGATTTTTTTTTTTTGGGGGTCAAAAATCAAAGATAAATTGGGTTTTCTAATGAGCCCACTTCATGTTTTTGTTTTGGTCAAGGAGCCCAATTCATGTTCAAAGTTTAAACTTTGGACTTCGGACATTCTCTAAACCATTAAATTTCTATATAAAAAACCAAAAATTAATATCTGAAATACCTGTAATACCATTACCTTAATCGTCGACATTTTTAACTTCCAACATTTTTTTGGTGTGATCACCCAAGTCATGCTCCTATACCTTGATTAACCGTGTTGGTCCAAAGGTTTAGCATGATCTGTTACAATATATGAAAATGTGAGAATAAAAGAGAGATCTTAAAGCTGGTTTTGTATAGGATAAAAAAATAAAACACTTCTGTTTTTGTCAAAAAACTTGTTTGATTTATGTAAGATATTGGAGAAAACTAAATTTGGTTAAACACAAATTAGTAGCAATGAGTGTTATTGAGACAAGTGCGAGAAATTAAACCGTGTTGAAAATAATAAGTTCACAAATCAACTCTAATCTATATATTTGGTGGGATATGTGGTAAAACCCTACATATTTGATAAGATGTTACAAGTGATGCATACGTTGATGCATACTGTGCTGGAAATATCAATATTCAATCGTCTACAACTAGGTTTGTGGTGTTCTTGGGCAATAATTCTATTTCCTGGCAATCCAAGAAACATGTTTCAGGGTCTTAGAAGTTCCACATAAGAGCACTGACAAATATTGATGCTGATCTTGCTTGGATTCAACAAGTATTGCAAGGAACTTAAGAGCAACTGGGTGATATTAGATTCGTGTACTTATATGGGCATAGAATATGTTAACTATATTGATTAGTTGTAGTCTGTTAAGAAGCTAGTTAGTAAGTTAGGTACAAGGTCATTTGGCTTACCGTGTCGTCAACAATGCTTCGAAAGAAAGCGTCGTCATCCAATTTTCTGATGAAAAGCAGGGAAATTCGCCACCACAAAACAAGTCACCATTGAGGTTTCTTCTTTAAGAATGGTCCAAGGCTCATGGTGGTGATAGAAGCCTTGGTGGGCATGCATCGGCTAAGGGACTATCCGGCAACAAAGTTGTCTGGTGTGGACAATCAAAGAATCATGTATCAACTCCTAAAGGGAGTAGCACATATCCACGGTAAGGGTGTCATGCACACAGGTCATTGACACCCAGAAATGTTTACTTCGGCAATCTTCTTGTCAAAATAACCCATTTATTAAAAAGTGAATTGACTCTTACAACCAATTCAAACTGCCTCACGGCCCTAAACTATACATCTCCAGAAGTGCTCTTAGGTGAGAAAAACTAGATGTGGACATCTGGAGCATTGGATGTGTCTTTGGTGAGTTATTGGTGTGCTAAATTCTGAGTTTTATGAAGTTTACAAAATAATTCCATGTTGAATACTTCTTATGCACTTATTTTTATGTAAGTATTATTATTTTTTAATATGCTTGAACGGTTCTGGGGTCATTGGTTATCTTCTTTCTTCTTGCTTATAGGGAAAAAGATTGACAGGAAATCAGTCACTTTCAGATTGGATGGAAGCTTATCTTCTAAAGCCTTAAGAATTAACCAGGATTTTTCTAACCATATGATTGAAGTTTGAAATTTTGATACAAACGCAGTTACCTGCTACACACAATCGGAGCCCAGAAAATCTAAACCCCCAACTGTTTGGGCCTTTTTAATTTTTTTCCCAAATTATTTACCCATTTCGATTTGGGTTTCTTTGTCAATTCCTTTTTGCCTTTTTGCCAAAGGTTTCTTATCAATTCTTATATCCAAATTTGCTGCGGACTAAAATTATAAAATTTGAGAAGAAAAAAACTAAAAGACAAATAACAACTATTGATGTTTACCCTAGTGGCTCCCTTCTTTTAATTTCTCAGGGTGATTCAAACTATTGAAATGAAATTTGAGAAGAAAAAATTATAAGACAAATAACAACTAATTTGCTAGATGATTCGAACTTGTGTACAAAACAAGTGGACGGATTCACTATAATGATCAACAGGAATAACTTAGGTCGGCCCAAAGTAAAGATATTATATGTTCTATCTTATATAAAAATTTGGGCCCCCCTGAATAATGGGCCAGGGTAGTCGCACTGACTGCCCCTGGTCAGGGCCGGGCCTGGGAGTAGCACATATCCACGGTAAGGGTGTCATGCACACAGGTCATTGACACCGAGAAATGTTTACTTCGGCGATCTTCTTGTCAAAATAACCCATTTATCAAAAAGTGAATTGACTCTTACAACCAATTCAAACTGCCTCACTGCCCTAAACTATACATCTCCAGAAGTGCTCTTAGGTGAGGAAAACTAGATGTGGACATCTGGAGCATTGGATGTGTCTTTGGTGAGTTATTGTTGTGCGAAATTCTGAGTTTTATGAAGTTTACAAAATAATTCCATGTTGAATACTTCTTATGCACTTATTTTTATGTAAGTATTATTATTTTTTAATATGCTTGAACGGTTCTGGGGTCATTGGTTATCTTCTTTCTTCTTGCTTATAGGGAAAAAGATTGACAGGAAATCAGTCACTTTCAGATTGGATGGAAGCTTATCTTCTAAAGCCTTTAGAATTAACCAGGATTTTTCTAACCATATGATTGAAGTTTGAAATTTTGATACAAACGCAGTTACCTGCTACACACAATCGGAGCCCAGAAAATCTAAACCCCCAACTGTTTGGGCCTTTTTAATTTTTTTCCCAAATTATTTACCCATTTCGATTTGGGTTTCTTTGTCAATTCCTTTTTGCCTTTTTGCCAAAGGTTTCTTATCAATTCTTATATCCAAATTTGCTGCGGACTAAAATTATAAAATTTGAGAAGAAAAAAACTAAAAGACAAATAACAACTATTGATGTTTACCCTAGTGGCTCCCTTCTTTTAATTTCTCAGGGTGATTCAAACTATTGAAATGAAATTTGAGAAGAAAAAATTAAAAGACAAATAACAACTAATTTGCTAGATGATTCAAACTTGTGTACAAGACAAGTGGACGGATTCACTATAATGATCAACAGGAATAACTTAGGTCGGCCCAAAGTAAAGATATTATATGTTCTATCTTATTTCTGTCTTTTTCAACTATCAATGACCATAATCCATCCAATCCCTTTGTTACAAGTTACAACTTTTTTTCTTTTTGGTACCCAAAAAAAAAATTTGAACCTTTTCATGTTGGAGCCATATTTGACCCAAAACTCCAATGCCCAACTACCCAGTTTGCCACGACAATGGAAGAAGTCACTTTCTCTTTAATAAAGCCGAAAGCTCCACCTCCACCATATGCTCCCAATTACCCGGTTGCCTACAACGACATGACACGACGCCGTTTCCGCGTAGTGCAAACGCTGTCGTATCTTCTTTAATCAAATCACGCATCTATTCGCTCCTCAAAAGCACAAATATCAAACCAGCAACACAGTCTTACAGGGAATTAGAGAAAATCTCTCTCTCTCTCTCTCTGATACTGTTCCGATCCCCCCAGCAAAAGATTTTCCCTTTCTCTTTCCTAGGGTTTAGCTGAACTCAGATAGCTTCATATTCAAGCTCAATTGTCCAGCTCCAATGTCTATAGATTCAAATGCTTACTACGGCACCCTACCATCAACCACCGCTACCAGCACCGCCGCACCCTCAACGTTCTCGCGTGCCAGAGAAACGACCCAGTCCTTCTTCGCCACGCGCCGCCCATGGCTCGAGCTCGTCCAGCCCTTCTATCCTTTTTGCCAAAGGTTTCTTATCAATTCTTATATCCAAATTTGCTGCGGACTAAAATTATAAAATTTGAGAAGATAAAAACTAAAAGACAAATAACAACTATTGATGTTTACCCTAGTGGCTCCCTTCTTTTAATTTCTCAGGGTGATTCAAACTATTGAAATGAAATTTGAGAAGAAAAAATTATAAGACAAATAACAACTAATTTGCTAGATGATTCGAACTTGTGTACAAAACAAGTGGACGGATTCACTATAATGATCAACAGGAATAACTTAGGTCGGCCCAAAGTAAAGATATTATATGTTCTATCTTATTTCTGTCTTTTTCAACTATCAATGACCATAATCCATCCAATCCCTTTGTTACAAGTTACAACTTTTTTTCTTTTTGGTACCCAAAAAAAAAATTTGAACCTTTTCATGTTGGAGCCATATTTGACCCAAAACTCCAATGCCCAACTACCCAGTTTGCCACGACAATGGAAGAAGTCACTTTCTCTTTAATAAAGCCGAAAGCTCCACCTCCACCATATGCTCCCAATTACCCGGTTGCCTACAACGACATGACACGACGCCGTTTCCGCGTAGTGCAAACGCTGTCGTATCTTCTTTAATCAAATTAGGGGTGAGCATCGGTTCGAAACCAATGGTTTTTTACCAATCCAATCCAATCCAATCTTCTATTGGATTACAAATTTTACAATCCAATCCAATGTGTTTGGATGTCAGGATCCAATCCAATCCGATCCAATGTACATTGGATTGGATTGGATTGGATGATCGGTTTGTATGAAAAAATAATTATGATAAAAAAAAACTTCATAATCTGTCATAACATTTAATTCAAAATTCAATATGATGAAAGATATGACATTAATATATTAATTTTTAATATAAATTATTATAATATTATATTTAATATGTTAACGTTTTGATTTTTTCGAAAGTAAGATTAATATATTAGTGAGAAACAAGATGAAATGTAAATATTATACAATATGAAAGTATATTAATGTGTATATTGGATTGGTTCGGTTTAGGTTGGATTTTCAATTCTTGATCCGCCATCCGATCCAATCCAATTGGATTTCTATTTTTCTAATCCAATCCAATCCATCAATGTTGTCGAAACCAATGAAAATTGGATTGGATTGGATTGGATTGGTCGGTTTTAGTGGATTGGTTTGGATCCTGCACAGCCCTAATTTCAACTATCAATGACCATAATCCATCCAATCCCTTTGTTACAAGTTACAACTTTTTTTCTTTTTGGTACCCAAAAAAAAAATTTGAACCTTTTCATGTTGGAGCCATATTTGACCCAAAACTCCAATGCCCAACTACCCAGTTTGCCACGACAATGGAAGAAGTCACTTTCTCTTTAATAAAGCCGAAAGCTCCACCTCCACCATATGCTCCCAATTACCCGGTTGCCTACAACGACATGACACGACGCCGTTTCCGCGTAGTGCAAACGCTGTCGTATCTTCTTTAATCAAATCACGCATCTATTCGCTCCTCAAAAGCACAAATATCAAACCAGCAACACAGTCTTACAGGGAATTAGAGAAAATCTCTCTCTCTCTCTCTCTGATACTGTTCCGATCCCCCCAGCAAAAGATTTTCCCTTTCTCTTTCCTAGGGTTTAGCTGAACTCAGATAGCTTCATATTCAAGCTCAATTGTCCAGCTCCAATGTCTATAGATTCAAATGCTTACTACGGCACCCTACCATCAACCACCGCTACCAGCACCGCCGCACCCTCAACGTTCTCGCGTGCCAGAGAAACGACCCAGTCCTTCTTCGCCACGCGCCGCCCATGGCTCGAGCTCGTCCAGCCCTTCTACAACTTCACGCGCCCCTACACCTTCGGCGACGCCACAATCCGAATCAAGCGCAACCTCAGCTACTTCCGCGTCAACTACACCATGGTCGTCCTCTTCATCCTCTTCCTCAGTCTGTTGTGGCACCCAGTCTCCTTAATCGTCTTCCTCCTCGTCTTCGTCGCCTGGTTCTTCCTCTACTTCTTCCGCGACCACCCACTCGTCATTTTCAACCATATCGTCGACGACCGTATCGTTTTGGGCGTGCTTGGCGTCGTCACCATCGTCGCTCTGATTTTCACGCACGTGTGGTTGAACGTGTTGGTCTCTGTTCTAATTGGGGTCGCAATTGTTGCGTTACACGCAGCTTTTAGGGGTACGGAGGATTTGTATAACGACGAGCAAGAAGCTGCCGAAGGTGGGTTGCTTTCGGTTGTGGGCAGTCCCACGCGACCTCGGTACTTCCGCGCTTAGCCGATTTTCCATTCGATTCTCGCTATTCTGTTTCGACATGGATCTTGGTGGGTAGGAGAAGTTCCTTTTTTGGCATTGTAAGCTCATTTTAGATCTGCTTTTAGTTAGCATTTTATTCAATCTTGAGCTCTATTCTTTGCTTTTAGCTTCAAGTTCAGTTTTTTTTCCTCTTTCATTTTTGTAAATGTAGTGCGAATTGATGACCCTTTAGAGGTTTTCTTTTATACTTAGTGAAACATGTATCAGATTGCTTGGTTTTTGCCAATATATAGTTTTGATTCAAGTGTGGTTGTTAAAGGGAAACATTGAAATGCTGTTGAACGTGAGTTGTTAGAGTGAAGCAATTAATCTATTTGAATTTAGATTCAAAGTGTTGCTTACTGTTTTTGTGCACATTCTTTGGTAGATGATTCTTGCATTTGAATGTATTGCTGTCAGTCATTTCTACTGGCATTCAACTGTTGATTGTTCAATATTTTCCTTCATTAACCATCTACCTTAGTGCCATCTCTTGGATAAGCTTTAGAAGCTCTGTTGAGTTAAACCCCATAGGTAAAGATTTTGATGTAATAGTTTTCATTCCTCAGTTTAATGGTCATCTCTCCCCTCTGTACGTCACTGCTCAATTTACCTGCTGTTAATAGATGTTTCAGAGTGCTATAAGACCCATTTGTGTGGACTTTGAAAGCTGGATGGGGAGCTGAAGCATGTTTTCCCTCACAATTTTTGTAGATTTGAGATGATACAGAGTAGAGATGCAGCGCTTTTGGTTTGGGCCATGTGAGGATAAAGTCTTTGAATTGATTATTGGAAAAGGGAAAAGCAGGAATTATAGCAGCCATGTTCCATGCAAAGCCAACGCCTTTTATCGCAATGGTTTTCTGAAGATCTTAATCTATAGCTGGTTTGCACATGAGCTTTCTTTCAGAATCCCGTTTGGTTGGAGTTTTGATTCAATAATACATAATTCACTTTTGTTTCATATTATTTTGGAATTGGTTGGTAGGGTATGAGATAACTAGGCAACTAGGCATTTACCGGATGACCACTGATTTTTTATTTCGTTCTATCGAAGCCTTTTACAGGATAATGATATTTTTCTCAGCAGGGTGGATTTGCACTTTCTTTCTATCCTTGTACAGTAACAATAAACTCTTATCACAAGAAAACTGTCATGGATTTGTAGCTGAGGGTATTGCCCCTTCTTGTATTCTGCATTGAGTTTATGACATTTTATGCAAGGGGAATTGAGAATGCCCGATCTTTCCGGCCATTCGAAGTACAGATCCATTGGTTTCCTGTGACTTTCTTTGATATACTGACAGGCAGTGTTTGATAATTCAATAAATCTGTAATAATAGCATGTAAATCTTGCTATTATTAGTTGGTAAAGGGAGAAAATACTTGTGGGGTCTTTACTTTGAATTGAATGCAAGGCATCTTGAGTGAATGGATTTTCCCAACCGCCGTTTTATTGCCTGCGCTAATGTCTCTGTGTTAGTTGCTTTAAGCCCAAAGGACAGAGCTGAAGCCTAGCTGTTTAGATATCATGAGACGTTATGGCGTCTGAGGAGGCTCAAGATAAGAAAGGTAACAGTCTTGAGCATAGGGAGCCTATAATTATACAACCAGGTGCTGAGAGATAGGATAGCTGTACAGTCACGTGCGCACGTGATCGTGTTTTTGGTTCCCTCCCAGTTGAATCATTTTTTTGTGTATATGCAGGCATGGAATATCTTCTAGTATATGTTCAACAATTAATCACAACTTCAATCTTCAGGCCAACCCAAGTCATTGCATTGAATAAATAAATAGGATGCCCTATAACTCAATTAGTTAAGAGCATTTATCCTTGTATTCGAAGTCTTTCTTAGGTTTGATTCCCTCCCACTTCCAAGAATTTTTTTTAAAAAAAATTTGACTGACTACTTTATGCTCAAATGGGAAAAATAAATAAATAAATACGAAAATCAAACAAGTAACATCTTGCTATTTTTAGTATTTTGCAAACATTTTGTTACAGACAAAGTAAACTGCGGCCAGAAACTGTGTATCAGTCAGGTTTATGGATGTTCTGCATTACATGACGTGAATCAATAATCTAAAAAAAAAAGAATTTTTTTTTATCTAAACCCTAATATTACAATAATCGTCACAATGGCCATTGCCAAGAACAACATGCCAGACTATGGAAGTGGGAGCACGAGCAAGTGTTTCTTTAGGCTGCTGCAGTAGACAACATGGCAATTGCAACACATACTCATAACATACATGCCGGATCAGAAGCTGCCTCCCGACCATCCTGGAGATTCGAAGGGAAACAAATATTGTCGTTCTGTTAGGAGTTTGAGACCTTTCGAGAGTAAGCGAGCACCATCACAAAATCTTTTGCAGAGGAACCAATGGATGCAGTAATTCGTTGTGAAGGTGATGCTGTTTGTAGCCACAAGTCGACTAAGTTATACATCTGCAATGTGGGAACCACTGGTTGTCCCATGCATTTGATCTCAACCTGCAAGAATGTTAATTGAATGGTTACCAAAAGAAGCACAACAATATACAGTAGAACTCTATTTCTAAGGATAATTTTCCAGTAGTCTTTTTAGATGTAAACAAGTGTGGGTTTGCTTACCTCAGCTTCACTCGTGAGATCTAACTTCCTCATTAGGTACTTCTGGATGAACGAAACAGGCACGTTTCCATCTCTGTGACAGATGAACCAAATATAAGATTTAAGCACTGGAGAATTCTTTCCAGACATAATCATTCTCCGATATTCAAAATCTTAAGAAGACACATATTACAAGTACTAGCAGTGATGATTTTTGAAAATTTACAGTTTTCCGGCATTAAGATCACATAATATTAATGGCTTTCATACAACCATGTATGTACTCCAGCAATAAGTAAGAACGAAGCAAGCATGTATGTGCATTAAAACAATGAACACTTCAGCATGTAATGATGAATGGCGCGTTCAAACATGCATTAAAGCCATAGAGACGAACTCACTTTATTCTTAAGTAATTTGTAGGAATTTGCGGCAAGGGTTCATCTTCCCTGAAACCATGAAGTTATAGAATCAATATATCAACAAAAGCAGAGCAACTTGTCAAGAAATTTGTATAAATATTCCAAAATAATTTAGAATCTTTCAAAGCTAAAGTTGTTTCTCACTGGTCTTCAGAAGCTACAAGTGAGAACCAAATTGGACCAACTCTTCTTTCGTGTTTGCCAATGGCTGCATCCAGAACAGCTTGGGGTGAAATGCTTGATTCTCCAAATGCTTCCCTCTTTCGGCGAACCCTACGCAGCTTCTTAGGCTTAACTGTTTCTGGAGAGATAGGATAAGTGCTATTTTTTTCATCCTCAACTTTTGATTTCTGTTTATTTTCCTTATTTTTGGGTTTTCGAACCTGAGATTCACTGGCGATAACATGCACTGGTTCTACTTTATTATCAGACCCTTGTGAATTGGATTTGTGAGACTTGGTCCTATTTGCAACTTCCACCAAAAAATTTAATGGTTTCCAAAGATCCAATTTCCCTTCCCTTGCTTCACCACCATTCTCAGTTTCTTTAATGGGTACAGGTTTGCTAGGCTCGGCAGAGAAAGAACTCTGCGCCAGTCAAATGTGAGAGCAATAAATGCATTAGTATATTTACCAAATGCTATACTTTCTTTTTAAGCTTGTGAAAACAAGACCTCATCGGCAGTTTAAAGAGTGCATATAAGGAAAACGATAAGAGATAGCGTTGCCCTCATTTACCTGCCTGTTATTTTGATCAGACTTATTTGAGGCCTCGGGTGAGCTGAAACGCTCTGGATGATCTTCCGCAGCAGAATCTTCCTCTTTCTTTATAGGCCTTTCAACCAAAAAACTAGATCCCTGTAAAGCAGAAGCCTTTCTCGCAACAGCTTTAGTTCTCCTTCCAGTCATCATGGTAGCCTGGGTTGACACTCTGGGAGTGCTGACCACCAATGACGAGAGAGATCTCTCCTTTCTTCTAGCGGGTAATGTAGCTGAAGGCATAACTTCAGGTGCCCTTACCTTTCTTCTCTTAAAAGGGAAAATCTTAGCCCTTACATCTTGCAAACTGTGGTCTGGCCTGATAACCAAGGTAAACTAAAACACATCAATATATCATGATTTATGAACAAAAATCTAAAAATTTCTCCAATTTGTGCAAAAATCTAAAAATTTCTCCAATTTGTGGTCTATTCTGCATAATGGACATGCATGATTGCTCAATAAGTACAGTTTACGGTTGCTTGATAAGGGCACGAGGATTGAAGAATTACAAGATTTCCAAAGACCATCTGCAACTAAATAAGCAAATTGGAGAATGGTCGCAAATGCAGCACATGCACACAGACTGAAGCTCATAAAGAATTAGGAAGCATATTTCATTTAATACCATCCTCTTCATTTGTCATCTCAGTAAATTCACTATATCCATAAATCCCAATTTCACCTATACATATTGAACTTTTTATTTTTCATCATCCCAGAATAAACTCACTTATGAAATCTTTGCCTATAAAACAATATGGGAAAGTTATATGTTGATGACATAAACCATGGCATCCTGACTAAAAAGAAAAATTGAATGATTTCCATTCAAAAAAAGATGAAGGAACCCAACTTTTCCGAAAATGCATCAACATTATAATCCAAGCAAGTACTTGTTTTGCTAAACTCGAAGATAAGTGAAGAAATAGGAACCTTAATTTCTCCAGTGGTACACAACCCAGATCGATATTACATATTGGACAGAATTCTAGTTCCTCGTCCGAAATCTTATTATATATGCACTTCCTGCAAACTGGAGAAGTCCAAACAAAAAATCTATCAGAATTATTCTTTACACTGTACACGGAGTTAGAATATTGAGGAAAGAAAAGGGGGTTGGGGGAGCACTCTGGGAGAAAAAAACTTTCAGCAGAATTGTTTTGCAATAAGCATTAGAAAATGAAGTAAACTAAATTTTTTTTGGGGGGGTAAACTGGGGGCTAAGCCCATGCACAAAACTAAAAAGAACCACTTCTATCATCCCTAATAATACAATTAATGCCTTCAGGACAGGAGGCTCACGAAATACATGCACACCTAAGCTAACTAAATTCTTAATCAGGCAGCGAAAATAAAAGGAACCATTTATGATAACTGAGCAGTGCTATAGATTTTGAACATAATTATATGTTTGTAAAGATCAATTGGAAAGAACGCACGACTCTATAACTCTATGCATTAATTATACAGTCATGGGATGAAGCATGAACGCAATGCTACTTAGACCACTGCAAGCAGAGGCCCTTCGACAGAAGGCAAAATTATATCACTGTCAGTTGAACTTTCGAATTATCGCCAAGTATATAAATTAAACAAGATGCTGCTTGTTCACGAGTGGTTGGCCAATCCAACTGGCAAAGCTGCTCTCAGATCTTCCAGCAGAGAAACATAAAAGGAAAGCATGGAATTTCAAAAACCCACATCCCAAAACCAGTCAAAGCCAAACCAAGCCAAACCCAGATAAGAAAAATGCAAAATACCAACAACCCAGATCAGCAAAAACATCAAATGTCAAAAAAATCACAGCTTTACACTCAAAATTTTGCAGAATCGGAAACTAAACCAGCAGAAAGAGACAAACAAAGAATCAGAGACGCAGAGTCATTGGCACGAGGGAAGACTCACACGTATGAAGGCATTCAGAGATGGTGGTGGCGTCTCTGAAGAGCTTATGGCAAAGCGGACAAGTCATGCATGCTGTAATTGTCTCCCTCTTCACTTTCACCACCTGATTCGGCATCTTCAACCTCTCACACTTCAGCTCTGCAATTCAAACTCACCCACGTATTCACACACTGCATGTTAACGCAGACACAAAATTTACGTCCATTTATTCACATCCACCTGCATTAGACACAAAAAAGATAAAAATCAGAACATCAACAAGGCAACCAGGCAAGCAAATAAGATGAGGAAAATCCAGCAAAATGCGTGCAGAGGGAGAAAGCGAGACAAATACAGTACCTCTGCTTATTGTTGAAAACGGGTGGAGAAGAGAGCCTGCTGTGGCTAGTGGGAAGGTGAGATTACGAGATGGGCTCGATCGATT